CAATGCACAGGTCCTTGCTTTAGTCCCTCATATCCTTTCTCCACCACCAAGAAGAAAGAATGCCAAGATTTGATTCAGATAATATGAGAATTGTCCCTTTAAATTTTATTATTTTATGGATATAGGTGTTTGCCTGCATGTATATCTGTGCACCATGTGTACACCTGGGACCTGTGGAGGTCAGAAGAGGGTATTGGATCCTCTGGAAATGGAATTATAGACAGTGTGAGCTTTTATGTCAGTGCTCGGGATTGAGCCCAGGTCCTCTGGAATTGCAGCAAGTGCTCTTAACCATTGAGCTGCCTCTTCAGCTTGAGGACTGTTCTCATAACCAATACAGGGAGAAAACATCATTGTCTTTACCATCTTTACCAACAAAAGTGAAGAGGCTCTTTCTCAAGTTGCATTTTACTCCCTCCCTCTGTTGTTTTCATTTAAGTGAAGCTTAATAGGAAAAGCAATGCTCGTTTTTGAAAAGAAATTGCAAGGCATTAAAAAAAAAAAATCTTTGAGGAAAAAATAGTGAAATTGACATGAGCTTGTAGTTTCTAACTTTGTTCAGTATGAAACCTCTTTAATTTCAGTGACATTTATAGACCCTGTCATGATACTGAACTTGTTCATTCAGCATTTGAGCTTTCCCAAGGGGAAGCAGCTAGTTTAAAACAATACAGGAATGGTAGAGCTGTATCCAGATTATGAATTCAATAAATATTGTCTCCTGCATGTCATAGTAGTACATAAAGCAGGATACCACTATATTTATAAAAAGTGGAATGTGGCGCTAAACCCATTTGTGATTCATGTACCATTTTTTTTACTGAAAATAAAAGCTCTTACCCTGCATTATAACAAGAAATGTTAGGTAGGTGCAAATTGACAAAAATAAGAGTGTTAATATGGCCTACAGGTGAAAAATAGTAAGGAGGATTTGTATGTTTCATTGAAGAGTGTGACATCGAGAAAAATTTAAAAGTAGGTAATAAGATTGGGCCTGGTGGTGAAGTCCTGTAATCCAGCTACTCAAGAGCATGACAGAAGGGTTCCAAGTTCATGTCTTCTCAGAACAACTTAGTAAGGCCCTGTTACATAATTTAATAATTCTTTTTAAAAATAAAAAAAAAAAAAAGGTCAGGGATTTAATGTAGTTCCATGGTATAAGGTTTGTATAACATGTGTGAAAGGTCCCTTATGCTGTATGCACACAAACAAACAGAAGTAGGCATAAGAATGACTCAAAGTCCAGAGAGGCCATATTGAGAATCCCTGAGGTGTATGTATGCAAGCCTGGTATGTTCCAGGAGCTACAAAGGAAACATCACTGTAGCCAAATTGACACAATGGAAGTGGGGATAGTTGCTGAAAACTGGGATGAAAGGGTAATGGTTGCATCATCTATGGCCTTGTAGGTTGTGCCACAGGCTTTGCCAAAAATCAAGCATTCATGGAAATCAAATATACCTGGCAGTATGAGGAAATATTACACTATTTTTAACTATAGTTTTTTAACATTGTGGGCAGGGGTTGAGGGTTGGGGCAGGACTCATACACGCCATAGTATGTGTGTAGAAGGCACAGAATAACTTGTGAAAGTTAGTTGCTTCCTTCCACTATGTGGATTCTAGAGTTGTACTCTGGCCACCAGACTTGGTGGTGAGCTTCATTACCCACTTCTGGGCCTTCCATTTTTAAATGGGTTGCCTATACACTGTGGGAGGGTGAGGCAGTGAGGGCTCATGAGTCTAAGATTTCTTTTGGACGTGATAGAAAACAGAGGGCTGAAGGCTGCACAGCTTTGAAAAAGGAAGGAAACAGTGGACCCTATGCTCATGGGAGATTTTGCTAGTTTATAAATCCCATCAGTACTAATATGACAAAACTGATGCTTAGAGCTTGCTAGAACCATTTCTTGCTTCTGCTTCATGTCATCAGACACTTTGCCTCTGGAGATTCAGATTTCTAACTAGATGTGCTTTAACTAGAGGAAAATGCCTAAGTGTTATTTGCTGTGTTTCACTGAAAATAATAAAGTATCAATCTATTTAAAGTCTATTACTACTGAAAGTCTATTATTGCTGTACATACATACATACTGAGTAGGATGTGATAGTGAGATAGTTTATAAAACATACTATTTTATGTTTTTTGGTGTTTTGCCAGCATATGTCTGTGCCTGTGGAGGCCAAAGAAGGTGTTGGATCCCTTGGAAATAGAATTGTAGATGACCGTGAACCACCACATTGGTGGTGGAAATTGAACTCAGGTCTGTAGAGGAGCAGCAAGTGCTCTTTACTACTAAGCCAACTCTCCAGCCACAACCTCTGGTTATCAAAAAATGGATGTTGTTTTTAGGCTGAATTCTGCTTATTTTACTAATGTATTTTTTAAATAATGTATTTGGTGGCTCTTTCATAGGGTGGAAAATCAGGTCAATATGGTAATGATCATCAAATTATGGCCTAAAGCACACAAGTGAGAAGAATGCCTTTGTTCATTGCATTGACGAAAAACCAAAGCAAACAGTCTCTCTTCCTGAAGACAGTCTTTCTAATAGACATTGAGCAGGAAATATGTTTAGCTAGGGTTTGGAGGTTTTTTTCCTTAAAAAATGTTTTAAATTTAACTGTAACGTTTTTTCTAAACTCTTATTCTATGGCAACCTAGTAAAATTGGCTGAAATATTATATGACCATGTTGTAATCTCTTTTCCTTGGTGGCTTGGGTTTTATTTTACAGTAGCCTTAAGCAGTTTTCATTAAAAAGACAATTAGTGAGTATTACAGCTCTTTTGGAGTAAAATAGTAACTCTCCTATAGTCACTCTGACTGTAGTCACTTCTCTTCTGAACTGTTCATCACTTTGAAAGAACTCCTCAGAGAGCTGTGGAGTAAACTGTCACATGTTACATTTTCAAAATTCTGAGTATTTTAGAAATCTGTGGTAATTCACATTTCTCACCCAAATTCAGCACCCTCGGAAAGAATTAATCTGCTTTTACTTCATTGTTCAATCTGAATGAGTAGTATACTTAGAGGTTGATTAAATATTTTTTCTTTTGACCCTCAGAAAAGTATGTCCAAATCCTTAAGTAATTACATTCTTAATACAAACATCTCTCATTTTCTTACAATAGGGGAAAAGCAGGGTAGCTTTCACATACATCCCTGTGGGTTTTGTTTGTGTGATGGTGACTCTGAATTGAGGGCTAAACACTTGAGTCGCATAACTTAACCAGCTTAGTTTAGAAAGCACAATATTTCATAAGTTTATTCATAAAACTGCATTCTTTGATGGCTTGAGAGAAAATAAGCATTGAAAGAAGCTCATACTTTGGAGAAAAGTGTTTAATGTAATTAACAAATAAGAAGTCGAAATATATTTTTGATTTCTTAGTCAGGTAAATGTTTAAAGCATTAAAAATAAATACAGAACTCTTATAGGAATAGGACCTTCAAAGAACATTGTGAAAACTGAGGTGCTTTGAAAAGAACTTGTGCCTGACACATATAATTATGTGTACCTAAATTTGGTCACTCCATTGCATTCGTTGCCAGTTATTTAAAAGCATGATTTTTGTTTATCTTTTTGTTCCAGTCTGCTGTTTTGCTAAGGTTTTTGTCAGTATTGCTGTTAGTTTCAGACCCTCGTTCCAGGTGTTCGTTCAATGAATCTTCGTGTACTTATGGACTATGCTTAAAGGGAAAGGTCATTATTTCAACCTTCAGGGTTCAGAGATGAAATCTCATTACCTTCACTCCAGTGTTTGTCTTGACTTCAACCACAAGTTAGAAAGTAGGCTAGTTTGGACAGTTGTAATTTTAGTTACTATTTAACACACTTTTCTCATTAGATATTCTTGGGAGTTCTCATGTTCTATTACAACATGAAAATATGCTCTTCAATTTTTACTAGTTCTTAAATTCATGTTGGTTATAATTTTGTATCAAATTTTTGTATCAAATTGAGAATTCTAGGATAATAAAGCAAAATGGAGGAGATTCTGCAAATGGAGTGATGAGAGATTAGATTTACTAAAGAGTAAAATTTAACATAAAACTTTAATATTGTAAACTGTGGTCCTGGCACATGACAAGCTGAGAACTCAGTATATATAGGAATTTAGCAAGGGACACTTTCAGTTAGGGGAAGTGAAAAGTGTTCAAAAAACCATGTTGGGGCCATTGAGTAAATACAAGAGAAATTAGATTGGATTATTTCTTATACTGAAATAATTTCTTTCATTTGAATTGTAAAAAATTTTAAAATGACTCCACTAGATTTTAACCTGTATATCAAATTTGAATTTTAATATTCAAAGATAAGACATTTGAAATTTTGAACAAGTTCAAAGAGCATAAAAACTTTGATTTTTCATAGTTTAATTCTTTCTTAACTGTGTATTACCCATAAATGATTTATTTCCTTCAGCAAGTACTGTATAGTGTTGTACACTTGAAGTATGTAATTGATCTACATAATTTTGTAAAATAGAATTTTTGAAGTTATATTCTCACAGAAATTGTTACAGTTTCTATTTATTAAGCTTTTTATTGTACACTCCCTAGATTGTTAGTAGATGAATATTACGAGCACTCTACTATTTAAAACATTAGTGTGGCCTGAATATTATCAGCCTTGAGATATAAACTAAAAAGTTAGTGATTGAGAACAATAAAATTCTACTTTTGAAGACAAGTTTACTTTATATGGCTTTGTATGGTTCTCTGATACATGCAAAGAAGCTTTCCTATGTTCCTCACTAGCTTTTCAAAGAAAACTTGATTTTTTTTCAAATGAATGAAAACTCAACTTCTGAATCAGTATTGCCTGTTAAATGTTCATATGTCACTTTTAGAGGGCCTTGTATTACATCTGCATTCTCTAAATATGGCAGAGCCTTTTGGTTGACATTAAGCCTGTTACCATACCTTTCCCCCTGGAGCCTCAGAACTCAGCCAGTGTTTGTAATGCCTGTGCCTTTTGTCTTTGCTTCTCTTTAGGGTCAGTATAGACCTTCTGATTTGCTGTGTCCTGAGACATATGTCTGGGTGCCCATTGAGCAATGCCTGCCTTCTCTTGACGTCTCCAAATATTGCCGTTTCAACCAGGACCCACAGGCAGGTATGTCTAGAGCAAAGCCCAGCTGGACATCTTTATCCTTTTTTGTTGCTCTTTGTAGTTTTTAACATATTGTACACAGTGTGCAAGTAGCACATGCATGTTTGTATGATGGGGAAGGCAACACAAATAGTTAATAAATGACGTGTTGTTCCCTTGCTGCTTGTTGCCTGTGTTTTTCCTGTCGGGTTAGTTTTCCTATGCTTTGAGGGCTGATGTCTTTACCTGATGTCTTTATCACAATGTAAAAGTTGTCTACTAGTTTGCTTATTTGACCAATGTAAAGACAGAAATATCGAGCAATTGAACTGAGGTTGTAGATAGTGTTGTGGAGATAATTATTGTATAAAGTTTTTGTGCTGGCACTTTGTTTTTCTAGCTCTGGTATGTCTCCTTTTCTATGCCCTCTCACACTCCCTGCCTAGAATATAGCCTCCGCCACATTTTATTTACTATTATTCTCTGTATTAGTATATCTAGACACTAAAAGGATAGCGTCAAGTTAAGACCCTGACTTCATGACAAATAGGTATATTATGTACTTTTAGGTAATTAAGAAGTTTCCCTGCTTTTAGATTCCTTACTTACTATTAAGATAAAAGGAAGTGTCAAGTGTGGTGGCATATGTCCAGAACCCTAGCAATTGTAAGTTAAAGGCAGAAGAATCACCCATTCAGGGTCAGCCTCAGCTGTCTTGTGAGTTTCGGTGAGTCTGAGCAACATGAGACCCTGCTTGAAACAAAACAAAAGATAGTAATAGGACCTCTGTGCTTGATTCAAGTATCATATGTATGTACAAAAATGCCATAATGAAACTGTTGTGTATAATTAATATATGTTAATAAAACATAGTAAGACCTACCTTATTGAATTATAATGAGAAGAAAATCAGAACCAGAAATTAAGAATTGCTCCATTGTTTTGGTTTTGTTACCCAAATTAGGATGTTGCATTATATTGATGCCAGAGGCTTTTGTTGGCATTTACTGCCATTTGCTCTGCCCCTTTTCTCTGAAGAAAGAGAAGGAAAAAACAACAACAAAAAAGAAACAAACAAACAAAAAAACCATTGCACATCCTGTTTACCTCCCTGGAGTCAGAGTGCCACTCAAAGTGTAAAACACCTATTGGTCTACAGGGCATCAGAGTGTGGCTTTGTTAAGTTGGCACAAGTTTGATGCTCTCGGGATGGCTTATATTATGCCCTGTGTGTGGATTCCCCAGACTGAAGTGTTCCAAGTTGTGCTTATTTGCTTTGAGTCTTCACAGATTCTACCACTGAGGTACTGCTTGATGCATACTTCGTTGGAATACAGGGAAGGAAATGCAAAGCTGGCAGAGGGCAAACAAGTAAATGGAAGTCAAATGAGAATGAGGGAAGAAAGGAGTGTACTGATTTCTCAGTTCTGAGATGGCCTCTTTGTTCTCACCAGTTTGTTGTTCTGTTTTGTTTTTAAATTGTATGAAATTGGTTCATGTAATATATTTTGTTACTTTGAAAAGATATGAAATTGTTAGTGAAACAAATGTCTTATCCATGGACGTACCTTAGAATCTGAAGAGTGGGCCCAGGGGCCCAGCTGTCTCATTTGCCAGGCACTCTGGCATTGCCCAGGTTTCCTTGCCAGGACTTCAATCCCACACCTTAAATTGTTACTCAGAATGGGATTGTTTGATTCTGAGTTATACTTTACTGATCAAATCTTGCTTTAAAACATTGAATTTGTCAGTCAGCTTTGGTATCAGGACCATAGCCAAAGGCAACCCTCTTCAAGGGGAAAGCCCGTAATTACCCAGTGTCCATGCCTCAGAAAACACGCTTCTTTGCCTTCCTCCAGGTCAATAGCTTATAATGAAAGCTGCTGACCATCTTGTTGAATTATTTCATATTCACTAATAGATATTTCCTTTCCACTAAATAATAATACTGTGGTCTTAAGACCCAACTTACTTCCTCTCTTTCTTTAATTTAATTTAAATGTTACTTGGAGATTTAAGCAACCACAAGTTCTCCATGTTTTATGAAGTTGAAAAGGTGCCTGAGTCATTCCCGTGCATGAAATGGGCATGCAAGTAAACACTCATTCAGTTTATAAATTTGAAAATTCCTTTCCAAAACAAGTGCTAATAAGCATTTCATAGCAAAAACAGTTAAGTCTTGCATTGCCTACTGTTATCAAGAAGATACTGTATTCTGGGTGTGATGAACACATAGCATGTTATTTCCTGTATTCTACTAGGTTCTTTTCCTCAGGGCAAACACTCTGGCTGTTAACTATTCATCATTTAGAATTCATTTATAGTCAGAGTAAACTTCTTTGAGAATAGTGCTTTCAAACAAATGAAGATCATTTTCCATGTGTTGTGACTTTGGAACTTTAAAGAGAATATTGTATAGTTTTATCAATATTGAATATCACAGTCCAGGCACTATTTGAAATCACACTTACATCCTGCGGTTTTAGGAAATTAAAATGCAGTTACATGCTGGAATGTATTGAGCCTGCTGTGAAACATGGCCATTGGAGGTTTAAATGGCAAACTGTGAGAAACTCTCCTCCTCTCTGGGGCCAGTTTTACTTTTACATGACCCAAACTGTGACTCAGAAAAAAAACACAGAGCCTGATGTGAGTAATATTGCTAGCTGGCCTGTTTCTTTTTTCCTTTTTTAAATTACAAAGTCTTTTCTCACCCAGATGTTCTGTGGTTCAATTGCCTACAGAAGGTGCCTCGGCTGATCTCATTATGCTCTGTGAAAGTGGTTTCAAGGTGTATCCATGGTCCCTTGTCAGACAGATCTCAGTTCTCTCCACCCTAAATTGCTGTAAGACTCTGAAATACCCACTGCCAGTACCCTTGGCAGTCTCTGCTCCCCACGACCTTCCTCCTCATTTGGGTTTTACAATTGCTTGTTTAACTATCTAGCCTGTGAAGCAAATCCTTTGTATTTACGGTGTTGTGTTCTTGTGGGCAAGAGCTGACTGTCTAACTTCTAACAACTCTACAGAAATTCTCTTATTATAAATAGGTATCTTGTTTTCTGCTTAGAGCATCTACCTATTCAAGTGAACAATTTTGAATTATCTTCAAAAAGACTTTAAGGAAAATAATGTCATTGTCTTTAAAATTAGAAATCAGCCATATATAGGCTTAAAGTAATCTAGTACCACAGTTACACTTCGTTTTCTTAAGTATTTATGTATTATTATTATTGTGTGTGTGATGTGTATATGGGGTACAAGTATCATGGCATGTGTTGAGCTCAGGGAACAACTTTATGGATTCAGTTCTCTGTCCATCCATAGGTTCAGGGAATGAACTCAGGCTCAGGCTTAGGCTTTCATGGCAATCCCTGTACCAGCTGGTCATCTCACTAGCCGATGTTTTATCTTTTTTTTTTTTTCCTTAAATTGTTCCTTTAAAAATATTCTCTGGGAACCTTTGTAGAAATTTGGCTCATATGTGGATTGAACATGTCACTCAATGACAGAATGGTTGCCCAGCATGCACAAGGCCCTAGGGTTAATTAGGGAAGGGGACCAAGAGTTTAGATGCGGCTGCTGCAGTGATAATATCTCATACTGTCCACTGCTTCCCCCACCCCACCCCCCAAGGTGTCTGTGGATGCTTTCTAAAGCAGAACAAGGGTCATGTGCCATACTTTTGTGGTTGCTTGTGTTACTTTACTTTTGATTAAATAGAAGTCAGTTTTGGTAAGGTAAAACTACTTGGCTGTTAATTTGACCATTAAGAAAACAAATACTGCAGGGCAGTGGTGGCCTATGTCTTTAATTCCAGCACCAGGGAGGGAGACAGAGGCAAGCTGATCTGTGAGTTCGAGGCCAGCCTAGTCTACAGAGTGAGTTCCAGGACAGGCTCCAGAGAAACCCTGTCTCAAAATACCAAAAGAAAAAAAGAAAAAGAAAAGAAAAGAAAAAGGAGGAGAAGGAAAAGGAGATAGATACTACAGGGGGATGAGAAAAAAAGAAAACAAATGCTACTCTTATATGGCAGGAAGTATGTTAACATAGACAGTTCTTACATATACTTAGTTGAAACAGTAGCCAGTATTTTGGATTTTTGTTTTATTTTCTCAGGACATGATCTTTTTGTATTTGGACTTGGCTTTTAAGCCTTGATAAACTGTGATTTGACTTACAGTGTTGAACAAACAGTTTGATGTTACTCAAGGGTATTACAATCCTGGATACAATATTTTTCAGAGTGAAACTTTATTGAGTATATATTATTTCTCAAGCACCATCCATGTTACTCATTTTATCCTCAAATGTAACATTTTAAATTTGACTGCCCAATGTTTGTTGCCAAACAAAACAAAACCCTAAAATTTGTTTTTATTAAAGGATGGAAATATATTTTATTCCAGTTTTGCTCTGTACTTTTTAAAGTACTTATTATTATTTTTAGATAATTTCTATTGCTGTTTTCATTTTACCATAGAATAGTCTAAAGTTGGTGTAGTTCTGTGCGGAGTTGTTGGCAAGACAAGTTCTAATTTGTCTCTAATGTGACCAACCTATACACCATTGCTTTTGAACTTAAATTTGCTATGGAAACAATTACACTTAATTTGGACCAAGTGTTTTGTGCATTTTCCTAGGGTAGACTATCTCTAGAACATCTTCACTCTTCCCAGAGTGGCTGGAAAATCTACACTAATATGAAGAAGCTTTGTATTAGTGTGGCTCCCTGAAGCTCCAGTTTGTGTTATTTTCTGTTATTTCAAAGGGGTGTCTTTCTTTTCTTTTTACTTCACTCTTTTTTCTTCCTGGCATGGTTCCCTGACATTTTCCCTAGTCTTCTGTAGTTCTCTAGCATATGTCCATAGAAAACCCAGCCCCTCTCAGATCTTGAGTGTCTGTGGAAGAGCCCTCCCAGAAAGTTCTCTGTCCTGTATTCATTGATTTGTGTCTGTAGGCTTGACATCGCTTCCTGAACACTGTTTATGCTCCTTCAGAAGGGTGTACAAGCCAACATGTCC